TAACCCAGTGTTTATCTTGGTGACAACTTCATTCTGAAGTAAGCTTAATAAGCATTTTTTACAAAGTTTGTTATATTCAATCTTTGCTTAACTATTGTATATTGTCCGCAAATGTAAAAAAATACATTTGAATTGTTTTTACAGAAGCCATAGTTAAAGATAAATGAAACACAATCTTTTATTACACCTTAATATTATACCTCTCTCAATAATGGCGCGCTATAAACTATTTTTTTTCAGGCGGTGTAAACGACGATAGTTACTTTCAGACTATCTAAAATAAAGTAAAAGACAATATAATGCTCAGTCAGAGAAATAGAAATATGAACTATAAAATGAATTTTGTGAAAAAACAAATAAATTTGCCGATTCAAAGAGCTATACATATATACATATATTAATCTACATAAAAAAAAAATGTGACGTGATACGTTAAAACAAAGTTTATATTTTCAAATTATAGACCAACATTTACATGCTTAAGATAAATTTATACAAAAAACTTTTTTATCGCAGACCTGTGTAATTAGAGTTCTACTGTAATAAGAAAACTTAACTGAGAAAATGCAATTACTGATAATTTTAAAAAACAACCTACTGCAATAAATACACAATTCTAATTCGCCCTTGTTTGTGTTCATTCTGATTACATCATATTTTATCTGCTCAGGCGCTTTTATATCTGTTCTTTGTAGCTACGTTTCCAGGAAATTGAAGGGAAAATAATCGAACAGAGGGTTGTAAGAACCCTATCCAAACCATTACAGCAATTCCCAGAATTCGTATTATGAAAGCAAATCAATAAAATGACGGAATTCTCAAAGGCAGCAAGTAAGTGCTGAATAAAGTGAGTACCAATACGTATAAATTGTTTAGGTTGTTTACCCTTAATGATTCACTACTAATTAGGTACTTTAACCAGTAAAATCTGTAAAGTAGATATTATTCTCACAGAGAAGAGTAAGCCTATTTTTAATTGTTTGAACGTTCTCTGCCTAATCTTTTATTATGTTAGTAAAAATAAAACAAATGCAATACGAACAACAATGTATTATTCAAGTTTTTCTACTTTTACGTCTGCTATTCTAAATACCTAAGTCTTGATTGATAGTAAATTAAGAAAGAGTCGTGCTCGAAAATTTAATTTTACAATTGTTTGTAAATTATTGGCAAAATGGCTGCACACGAATTCCGTCTTGACGACGAATAGCAAACATGAATTCCGTCCCATTGTCAGAAATTATGAGTAAGTAGGTAATAAAAAATTATGTTGCGCTCCAATGAATTTTCATAAAATTAAGGTCGAAAGTAGTCATTAATAATATAATTACATTACAATTATAATTGTATTTCTTCACGTGCATGTCGACAGACAGAAGCATGGGAGATATAATATCTTATAAGTCCAAGCTCTAAGAGCATAAGTAATTATTATAATCAAAAAGCTTGTTCTGCCATGTATTCGTTTTCTCTTTTTGATATAGTCCTGTCAGGACTTGGAAAAAACGTAATGACGCCACAGATGTAAAGTGATGCTGAATTCAAATAACAAATACGTTTTTCTGAATTGACTGATGATCGTTACTGTTATTATACTTCTTGATATGTACTTCTTTCGCGAACATTTAAAATACGTATAGGAATTTATTACAAATCTCAATAAAACGGTTTAAAGTACAGCAACTGCGCTGTGGCAGGGTGGCAGAACGAGAAAAATGTCGTAGGCCCCCGGCCGGAGGGACACCCGACCCTAGAAGCTATGTGGACAGGAGGAACCTAACATTTATTACTAAATTTGGTAAAAAATATTTTTTTATAGTTAATCAAATTAAGTGAGTATTAACTCAAAAACACACGAATTATTTATACAAATAAATTATCAAGATTTGAACACATTCGTAAGAAAAACATATCGCTCAGTTTTAGAACGAATCCATTACGCTATGTTTATTTTTTTAACTTCTTAGATGGTCAGTTCGAATTTTTGCAAAAACATGCTACCCCCTAAAGTTTACAACCAGAAGGTCACACCACAAGCCTCTAAGTGAATACTACTAATATACAGAAATTACTCTTAATGTTGGCGCCATCTAGCAATTAGTAGAACATCGACATATGGCGGCAAATTTGAACATTACAGTGCTACATGGGTTCCCATCATTTTTATTTTTCTTAAAAAAAAAGGAATATTAACAAATACAATATTTTATATATAAATACATATCATGGTTGTAGTAATAATTAATACTGAAATACAAATAATAAATGTTAAAATAGAAATATTTATAATTTTGGTGAATTAAAACAGGAAAGGAAAATATGGAAAATACCAACAAAATATAACGATATTGAAATAGATGAAATGGTTAGTATCTTATCCTAAAAATTGGATAAAAAATAATATAACTTTCAGAAACATGTGAAACATATACATACTTACTACTTTTTTTCTATCAGAAGTTATATGATATCTTTCTTCAGAACGCCCAAAAGAAGAGCAAATCACTACCAGGCCTCCACCTTCTCTGTGTCTAATACATATAAATTATTTAGTAAAAACAATTTTCTTTAATCTCCCTGTTGGTATAAGGCACTGCAAGAAAATGTGCTTCTTTCCAATCATATGTTTTGCAATGTAAGATTACCAAGAAATTGAAACCTAATTGGTTTAATGGTATTACTTGTACACTATGAATTTAAATTTTAGCTATGCATGCCAGAGTTGCCTGTAACAAACGTTGCATGAAGCGAACTTACCCTACCCTACGTAAAGAAGTTTCACTTCAAAAAAACATTAATTTCTTTAGACGATTATGGATTTATCTCTACTTATAAACATCAACTATTAAATGAACGTCTCTTCGACAAAGTCAACCGAAAATTGGTTACTGAGACTTTTGAAAACTTGCCCGCTTTTACGAAAGTAATCCTGTTAATCAACTCTAAAAAATCAGCATACAATCTTTATAAGTCCTGTAAAAAATTCAGTCTACTTCATATTCCCCATTTTACATTTATTTAATGGTTTTATTCTTTAGTAAATTTAAAGTTATTTTTTGTCATTTGGGGATATAATTTCATCAGCAAGTCATATTAGGGCTATTAATACAATTGAATTTTGTGCAATTCTTTACAAAGTAAAGCAATTACATGTTCGTAGTAATATAAAACAACAACTTTATTATGCAAATGAATAAAACAAACGTTACTTATAAATTTATTTATTTCCAACCAAATATTAACAGAAAACAAACTAAACTGGTGTAATCACCAGAATTCCTCGTAAATATTAAGGCCTATCTTCGGAACGAACATAACACATTGGCATAATCGTTCATTTAAAACTTTAATGGCTTATTTTTTTGTTTTTAGTATATGTACTAGCACCTTGTAAAAAAATAACTCAAGCATCGAGGAGGCAAAGGCAAAAACAATATACGCATTTAAGTATTCAAACGTTACTCTCGTTGATTTTATGAATTTCGTAATTACAATAATATTAATAAAATAATCTTACCAACTATATTGCAGATGCTTTGCCTAAACAACTGCTACTAAAATAAATATCATAAAATAGTTTGGTACATTATGTATGTGAAGAAAGCACTAGTTATATTTTTCCATACGAATGACCTTACAAAGTAAGAAGCTTTTACACTATATGTATATCAATTTTTTGTTTGATATTTTCAAAATTACAGTCTTTACGATTGATAGGTAAGTAATTATTTTTCAAATTTGAATTAGCTTCAATAAAAGAAACTATTGATTTAAAACTACACACTACTATGTAGTTAGAAAATCAATCTGAAAAAAATCACATTAAAAATTAATCTCGCAATCACTTTACTTTGATCGATACTTTTGTGCAATTCCAACTTTCAATGATCACAATATTCATATAATAATCACACTTCAATTGGTTAATATTTTGTTTTGAATATTTTAGACTGAATAATGGCAAATTCAAGTATCTGACCGAACCTTCGGTTTCGGTTTCAGCCTACATTCGACAAAAAAATGAGTTTCGATTTCAGCTACCCTCCAGCCGAAACTACGACCAAAACCGAAACTGGGTTCGAGAGGTTGCGCACTGCGATGTACTCAGCTGCGAGCAACAAAGTGACATTTTGTAATTTCACTATGAAATAATAGTTTCTAATACATCAATGCCAATTACTCGTATTTTCACATTACGATTGCTCTTTCATCTTTCTTATATAAAAAAAAATATTGGTGATCATTTCTGGCGACTAAACTTAACCTTTTCTAAAAACTAGATCAACCTTTGAAATGCACACGCTAAGAAGTTACTTAAGGTAGTAGTAGGAGTAGAAGTTAATTATGGCTCTTATTTACACATTTTTACACTTGATGCACACATTTAACAATATAGAATTTGACACTGAGTACAACAAGAAATATACATTTCCTTTGTCTACCATTTACACCGTTCTTAAATGTTAACCGATTGAACGCGAACACCAAAAACTACTTAACCAACGAAAAAGTTGCCAATAAACTCCACTCTTTTACATTCACATTTAAGCCAAACGTTTTGCTGAAAACAAACTACTACAGAAACACTTCAAGTTGCTAGGCATTACGCGACGCTGAAAAATTTCTAACGAAAGATGAAATAAAAACTAATGTATATGTGTAGTAAACATTTTTAATTACTTATTATTTAATGAGCTTTTTTTATATTAAGTTTTACAAATCACTAAGTAGTTTTTCAAAAATACTAATTACTAAACAGTTGGGACCGGGAAAAAATCACTTCTAATACCTACATAATATTCAGCGTAAAAGAATGGAGCTCAAATTTGAATTCTCCAAGAAAATAAACTTAAGGATAGACAAAATATGAGGTGTCAACTTTTTATTCCCTAAATAAAAAAATTTTCACTACACTACAAAAACCAAAAATTCCATCACTGAATTAAACTTAAAAGTCAGTCAACAAAAGGATCGGTGATAAATCAAGAAAAACGCAGTCGTATATTTCAAATGACTTTATTTTTTTTGCAACGTCCACCCGACACAATCGGCCTTTTGCTGCGTGACTTTTGCATCGAACTGTATACAAAACGCACACCCTATTAATCGATTCTAAAATAATAACAAAACATAACAACTTGATTTTTCTTTTTAAAAGCCTTTCAGCAAACTGTACAGTGTCGTGCGACGTAATATGGACTTGTAGCACTAACCATTTTACAAGGTTAAAAGTATATGTATGTATGTATGTGTACGCAGTTAAATGAAGCCTTATAGATAAACCTAAATGAAAACAAACAGAAAAAAATAGAAGAGAAGAATAGTAAAAGTCTGATCACTATGCGCTGTTCATAGAAGTCGCAAGAGCGTTTCAACTTCTACCACTGAACATTTTCAAGCTGAAAATGTCAAGTAAGGAAAACAATGGGCAACACTCCTACCATAAAAGACAAAATATCATTTATAAATATGTATTACGTGCTAAAAACACACTAGCATTGTATCAACACCTTTCCATACGGAAATGACTCTTGCATATCAAATTTTTATACGCGCACGAATTGAATTTCCTCCCTTATTTGTTATTTTTTAAGTATACCTATATAAAAAATTGAAGATGTAATGGGAGGGTTTAAAATTACTTGATTAAACATGCACGTCTAAATAATATGAAAAGAACAAGGACTAAATAATATAACAATATAATTGTAATTTCTAACAGTCTTAAAATAACTTACATAACATATCATAAAGAAAATGATTGGCGTCTCTAGTTGCTCAGGTTTTCTTTATACAATCAATTATTGTATTCGTTAAAACGTTTAAACCAAATTATGTGTACACCATGTACCAACATTTTGTTCTCTATTAAAATAAAGTATTCACTCAAAATATGTTAAAAGAGGATAAGTTAAGATTTTTTTCTTATTTCGGCTTATGTAGTTAAGCAAACTCCTAAAACTAACAGGAGCGAATACTCCTAAATAAAAACTATTAACCACTCTCCTTAATAATTATACTATCAAATTTTTACTAGGCTTTTATGTTGTTACAAAACATTTTTGAAATAGAATGGACATGTAATTATAACCACCTAGAAAACCAAGACGCTTTTACAATTTCATGCCATTCAATGCCAGGTACTATACTATCCAAGTGCGTTCTTGTAGTATTTGATCACATCGCTACACGTTATATCTCAGAAACGAAAAGGAATTTCTTAGTTAACACATCGTAAGTAATCAAAATAAATAAATTGTGGTTAATAATTGAGCAAAACTGCAATTGGCATAAAAGACAGTTTATGTAATCTAAATATCGAACATTTTGTTTCATTAAATTGCAGATCAATAGATAAGACAACACAGTGTTTACGAAAAAATCGGTTTCGTCAACATAAAAAACAATAAAAACAGTTATGTACACGCACAGCCAAATATCTAATGAAACTTTCGCAAATTTGAGCGTTTTTTAGCTTTGGTTAAAGAGTTACGATATTTTAATAGAAAAAGCTTGTTGTAAAAATGATTTTGTTTAACCTGAGTAATTAGAGACGACCAAATCAGTCACTAATAAAATGTTATACCCAGCAACAATATTAACCTAAAAACTAGGCTTCCCTTATACAGCTTATACATACACATAATGGTAATTATTTTGTCAAAAGAGTAACATTAATAACAGCGTTATCTTCAGCATTGTTATTATTATTATCATTTTATTAGTCTTTATTACAACACACAGAATACGATGACGACGACAATCGAATGAAGACTTCTTTTTTCACAAAATGTAATAAGAGAGTTAGAGAGAAATCGAATGAGTTGTTGTCCATATCGTGTAAGTCCATTGAATATATGACACGTTTAGGGGAAGGTCAGACTTCATAATTCTGTAAAAGTTCTGAAGCGTACATATCCATGGCGACCGGCAACTGACATTTTCGCACTATTATCGAAGTCAAAAATCCTTTGGCAATTTTGTCATTATTTAATGTAATGTTTTAGTACTAACAAAAAAAAACATCGATTCGTAAAATAAAAAAAAAATATCCAGAAATTTGGCCACAAGTAAAACATAGCAATGAATAAGCTACAAAAAACACCTTATATCGCCATTTTCTACATACAAGTTGAAAAATAGGGATAAAATCACCTAAGCAGCTTATACGTGATCCCTTCGATTAACATACATTAACTGAAGGCAATGCATTATATCATATTTATAACATATTGTATATGTATAATGTATACTATCTATATATGTATGTATATATGCGGAGTAGAAGAACGTCAAGGGCCTATCACAGACGCACGCGCGAGCCGGTCCCCCCGGGAGCCACACGAGCAAAGCAAGCGGGTAGGGAAAGGGAGGACCGCTTACCTGCAGCACTTATGTAAACTTACTATTTAAAGTTTAATCGTTACCATTTAATATTAATTAATTAATCATTATCATTATTAATAATATTCAACATAACTCCTCCATCGGGTAGGAACATGGACTCTCGCATAAAACAATTATTGTTATTTTTCAATTGAAGAACAAACTAGAAACTCATCGTTAAAAAAAACAAAATGGTTGGGAAAGAAAAAGTACGTCTACACAGTTAAATGCCAAAATTTTGGGCAGTATACCACTTTATGGTGAATCGCGTTGTGGGCGGCGAGCCATCGGACTGTTGAGACATTAAAAAATTACAATAACAAAATAAGGAAGACGCACCAGCGCATTGTCCGTCTCTTTTTATCGCGTTCGGCAGCACCACCACTAACCACCGTTATTTCCTTTGTATTGTTGGCGCTTTTAGAGTGTCGCAAGACCTCTATTGTTACCATTAACGTCATTAGTATTAACAATGTTACCTGACATGCGTACACGCGCGACGATATTAATGCATCATCGTGGTGCGATATTTGCTGCTACTTCGGAGACCGAGCAGGAACGAAGTCGCGGAACTGCCGCTGTTGTTGCTCAGACCTTCGCCGCGATTGTTGCGCCTGTGCGGACGACGTTCCACTGTTTATATAGTTAGCTCGCGAACCGTTTCTTACTGATGTAGCTGTAGGCACAGATGAACTATGATGACGTCCCTGTTGTTGAGACGCATCTTTTTGCTGGTTCCCGTCTAAAAAAAAAAGAGAAAACCAATAAAAGTATTAGTAAATATTCATAACATGGATATTATTTTCTTAATTCTGCACCAAAAACTAATGAAATTTTAACCAAAATGGTAGATATTTAGCATTACAATATCATTATTTAAATCCAAGTGATGTACCAAACTTAACATAGCCCGTATTTAACCAATGTACTGATGAACCGGCTAATGGGCTTGTTCAGTAATTTTTTTAATTCATAAATAGAAAGTGCAAGTTAAAAATAAGAGATCCTAAAAAAATCAAGTTTATTCGCACGCATAGTGTCTTAAAACAATTACAAAGTGCATCTTCTAGGGAAAAGGTGCGTGGCCAGGCGTTTCGTCACTATACGCATAGGCTTGGTGATTGTACCCCACTCAACGTTAGTTATTAGTCATTACAGGCTGTATTTACGAAGTATTCATTGTAGGTGTACATATTTTGACTCAATATGGCTTCAAAAATGGGCTTATTAAAATTGTAAAATTTCAGAATATAAAATACAAAATAAAAACATGCTTCGGATAAACGACTTATTTGTTTGCCATCTGTCTAAAGGCTAATGAGAACGACACGGCAAGATGTGATATGACTTTATCAATCAAAAGCAAGAAATTTTATATTTTTGTTTTAAATATAAGTTGAAGAGGACATACTTATATAAAAATATTAAAAAAGGGAAGAATTAAATTAAAACATTTTTGATTACCAAAACAAAAGCTGAATTACACAATACACACTAAGGTGACACAGTTACCATTTTTGCTGCTATGAGCGTTTTTTCGGTATTAAGTATTAATAGTACATTATAATTTTCTCTTTTAATTTTGTCTTCCAATATTCCTAATCTTCGTCTATAGTTAGGAAAGTAATTCCTGGTGGTTTAATGTCTCCAAGATGTATTATACAGAGGAAAAGCCCACATATAGAATTTATTTTAATCAAGCTTTTATTGAGTAAATAGGTATGTCATTAGTCAATTTGAATTTTTTAGAGAAAACTAAATAAGAATAAAATCTAAAATAATAATTCTTACTAGTAATCTTTTTTTTATACCTTTTTATATTAAAGATCAAAGTTTGTATGTAAAAAATAAGCAGGAAGGACTTTTTTTTTGCCTTTGCCTTTTTATACCGCCCCTTATTTTGCTCAACTGGTAAATTACTGGGAGTAAAATATATAGTATTAATACATTCGAATAGCAGTAATTAATCAGGAATAATTTATGTTAGATTTAAATAAAAAAAATGAAATTATTTAATATGCATTACCATTATTAATAAATAGTTATTCAACTAATATCGTAAGTACCATTTGAGCTTTAATAATTTCATTCCTGTACTGACGTGGGTACCCTTTATTATTATTAAAATAGTTCATAATCGTAAATGTATCAACTTGTGATACATATGCTAATAGAAGCAACTTTATTGTTAGTTAAGACACTTTTTCCCAGAATACCACGCTTTATCTGAACGGCTGAAAGCGGTTACGGTGTACCTCCGAATCCAGAGTTGCGTACAGTAACGTAATTAGCCGCTGCGCTGGGTTTCTTCAACTCTTGTATCTCAAAAACTAAAATAGCTAATGATATGACATTTTAAGAGTATAAAGAAAATATTGAGTACTACACAAATCCGTATAAAAACAAAAAAGAAAAAAGAATTTTATGGAACAATCCCATTAGTTTATATAGTAACCATTTAGTATTTTTATACTGGCCATTTTGGTAATAAAATATTGGCCAAAAGTTGATTAGGTAGGTACTGCTAACCGAAAATAGATACTGCCCGTTTAATTTGCTGACTATTTTAAAACATTCTTCGTCTTACTGGGAATCAGGTGAAATATTCTGACCTTTTATTAAACATAACCATGGCCTTGTGGCCCTTACACATAATTTTTAATACTTAAAGATTCAACACCAGACATGGACTGGTCCTACTTATCTTTGCTAGCCTACCGGATTGTAAGAGAAAAGAAAACTGTTTATGTTGCAACTATGTAAGTTATCTAATTATTATATTAACTTTGTAAGCTTATTCATTCTATTGTCTGTTATACATATTATATTCTTTATTGTAGTATTATCAGTTACCATTTTTGTTGGTACTGTCAGCCCTATATCTACCTACTTGTTCTGTTATGTAAGTAATACTGTGTAGTAATGTACGAAAATCTTGTAAATAAATCATATCAAATAGAATCAACTATTTGTAGATGTAAATGACGACATGAAAGCATAAAATTTTAAAATAACGTGTATAAAAATTCTGAATTATAAAAAACATAAATAATACCTACATCTTTACTTTCGTATCTTTGTTGCAATAAAAAAAAAGTTATAAGAAACCTTTAAGACGCTATTAGTAATCAATTAAATGAACATAAATTACCACGAATTTCAGTCTGCTGTTGCATACTTCTTCCAGTTCCAGGACTTGTCGTTACGGCGGGCGCTGCTGACGGAGAGGGTGAAATGGAAACAGATACTCCGCCTCCCACCTTAATAGCAGAACTAACTGAGGCTTGCAGCTGAGAGGGTTCGGAAACACTTTGAGGCTGTTGGTGCCTGTCTTTTAATTGCTGCTGATATTTCTCCTTTTGTGCGGCGCGTATCTCTTTATGATGTTGCGCAACTTGGGCGTAACTCATTCTAGTCGTGGAAACAGAAGAGCTTGCGGCACCTCCCACAGTCTCCTTATATATTATAATATTATTTAATTTAATAAGGAAGTACTTGTTTGTGACAATTAGACATATAATTTACTAAACAATCAAAATTCGATATATCCAGGAACAAAGTATTACATCGTACACATGCACCACACAAATACACACACACATACAAACACACCCAAATAGTACTTAAGTCACTACATATAAATAAATGTAAAAAGGAATATGAGAGGCAGACTAGCTATACCGTGATAAAAACTCGTTATGGATTAAAAAAAATCTCGAATTTAAAAAAAAATGTTTAACATTTTCTGATTTTTCCACAAATTGGCCACCGAGTTTAACAAATGCATTATTTCTAATAAGACTTACTGATGTAGATAAAGGTGGTGGCGGTGAAAGTGGCATTTTTGAAACAGCTGTTTCGGTGCGAGAGCTTTGCCGACTAACAGGCAAGTGACAAGAGGAAGGGGTTGCTGAAGCTGCAGGAACAGCTACAGGAGCAGCAGTAACGCAAACTGATGAACGAGAAGTGGCCGTTGAGAAAGGACACGTGGTTTCTGTAGCCGATACGGTTGTCGTCATAGTGGCTGCATTCGTCGTTGTCGGACATGAAATTATCGTTTCTGGTTCGCCATTAAAAAAAACATCATCAGTCTTAGTCGCCTTGTCCGCCATCGTACATTTTGCATTTGAAACAGGAACTATTCTGCAAAAAAAAGCAATAAATGTACAATTACATGGCGAAAATGACTGACCAAGAACTTAATCCGTTCTTATTAATTTGGCTTCTGCGCTTTTCACGTATATAAGCTGCGTTGTCGATTCAGTTGGACAAGTAAATACCTTTATTAAGATCCGTTTCCAACATTTGAAACACTTCCGTTAGCAGCAAATAACTGCATATTTTCACATATTATATAAACATCTTTGATGTGGTTGATAAGTTATCAAAACTGTCTATGGGCATGTTAATGAAGGCAAATAACATCGAAATCGCTGTCCACGTCTGGCAGTTTTGGTAAATTACTGAACACAAGGCGTTCTTACAATAGTTTAACAACAAATAAAATTTGGTTTTCTAAGACAGTTATAACAACGCTTAAGCTAATAAATGCACAACCTTCCCAATGGACAACTTTTCTTACAACACCCCCTTACATTAATTAAATTAATCTTTTAAGTTTACAAGAAATTTTTACTATTGAAACATATCTTATAGTCCCAATTAAACAAAAAAAAAATACTCCTCTGTTAAATGCTGATNTATTACAATATTCCTGGATCATTAGCTACTATGAGTACTGCCAATAGATATTACGCACCAAGGGAAGAAAGATCCCTTTGAAGGCTAATTTGCGGCTAATTATCCAATAGTTTATATTTTTGGCAAAACAAACAAAAATTTTTGCCGTTCGGTTTTTAACTTTCCGCAGTCCGGACCTGGATGTGCCGAATATTCTAGAACTGTAGCTATATTGAATAGATGTTTCGTTTCTATTACAATATTCCTGGATCATTAGCTACTATGAGTACTGCCAATAGATATTACGCACCAAGGGAAGAAAGATCCCTTTGAAGGCTAATTTGCGGCTAATTATCTAATAGTTTATATTTTTGGCAAAACAAACAAAAATTTTTGCCGTTCGGTTTTTAACTTTCCGCAGTCCGGACCTGGATGTACCGAATATTCTAGAACTGTAGCTATATTGAATAGATGTTTCGTTTCTATTACAATATTTCTAGATGATTAGCTGCTATGAGTACTTCCAATAGATATTACGCACCAAGGGAAGAAAGATCCCTTTGAACGGCTAATTTGCGGCTAATTATCCAATGGTTTATATTTATGGCAAAACAAACAAAAATTTTTGCCGTTCGGTTTTTGACTTTCCGCAGTCCGGACCTGGATGTGCCGAATATTCTAGAACTGCACCTATATTGAATAGATGTTTCGTTTCTATTACAATATTCCTAGATGATTAGCTGCCATGAGTACTGACAATAGATTTTACGCACCAAGGGAAGAAAGTTCCATTTGAACTGCTAATTTGCGGCTAATTATCCAATGGTTTACATTTTTGGCGCCAATTTCGCCATGCTAACTTCAAAGGGGTGGAAGAAAATACGGCTTTTCTTCCCGAATGTGAATTACCACACGAGCTAAAGCGAGCGTCAGAATTAACACCAAAAGTAGGTGCCCAAAATTATTCAAATTTGATTTGTAGATAATGGTACACTATTATTACACCTAATTAGTTTATATATTCCTAACAGTTAATGTCTGAGCGTCTTTTCCAAATATGTAAGTGGTTAATTACCCTTGATTTACCCTGTTCACAATAAATACGTAAATTAGAAACTCAAAAACAAAACATAAAAAATAGCAATTTCGCTTTGTATCATCGAATGAGGTATTTTCGAATAATTAAATGGTGTTTGCTATCGCGAAATCCGCGTAACACTAACCAACAAAAGTCACCTTTGACCCCACGTCTCAGTTTTGAACGATGCCGGCTTTCCGTTTAGAAAGCCCATAAAGAAGCTCGCTCAAAGGTCCGCGAAATATTGTTAGTAGGCTATGAAAGCGATGGACTTTCTTTGACTTCAACCAATGTAAGTAACTGGTAAGCAAGTACCTGCAAGAAGTAAAATTGATAATGAATACAGATGGTTATCAAACCGATTGAAATTAACTTTCTTTTTGATTGACTGGCTTCAATTATTCAGATGTTATCAGTAAAAGTAAAAATTATCTACTATATTTCAAAGAAGTAATAGTAAGTATAGTAATAATTTTTGGGTAATAATAAAGAAGGAAAATTTTAGGTCTAAATTCATTTGGAACGTTGATCATCTTTTGGTAAATTTTGATATCATTTCATATTTGAAAATCTTTTTTTCAGTTAATGATTTGATTATTATTCTATTTCTTTTTTAATGCAGCGAAGTTGACCATGAAACCTATAATTATTTGTTTATAATGAGCAAGAAGACAAATTTAATTAATTAATTGGTTTGTTTACAAAATGTATTGGTAGCATTTGAATTATTATTTTGAACATGACTACAATTTATGCCAAAATTAGTTTTGAACGAATAAAAAATCAAATTTTAGCTGAAGGCCTAAAGTATATCTATTATTTAAACAAATTTATTGTTTTTTATTTCCTTAATGTTGTTATTATCACTAACCGGGCTATGGAAAAGGAATATATATGTATTGGAAAGTGTTAATTAATTGGAAGATAATTTATTCAAAACTTCCTGCTAATTCATTGTTAATGTATGCAATTGGTAAGAAATTTAAGATTAATTATTTATTGAGGTAGAGAATATAAAAAATATATAATACTTAATTGCTATTATTAACCAATTTAACATTTATTTGAACACAGAAGGGAACTAAGTGAAAAATCTTAAGCAACAAAAAGGAAACTGTATACTTTTCCGGTTTGTGGTCTCACTTGAACGGAAATTGTTACTTAGCTTTATTATTATCGTTGAAAATGTTTAATATTTTCACATACAGGAACTTAATAACTTAAGATTTGTGTTTTATTAACTTTCTATAAGCCATTTTTCAGTAATTTTCCGAATTTTATAACGATTAGGCAATTTATAACTATTTAACAATAAATTCGATAAAATATTCGCGTTCTATTTGACATTTGTAAACAGGTATACATTCCACGAATGACAATCGACCTACACCTTAAGGGTATCATTTGGTTTCATCTTAGCCTCATCTTTATCAGAATTTCTCTGGTTTAACATTCTTGCGCTACCCGATATTTGCCTTATTAACAGCTGTTTATATACGAAATCTTAATCTAAACAATATTTTCCACCTTTCCATAAAGAACCGTCGAGTATCATCCCCATGGTAATGATAATATCGAAACATATTGTGTAGTCTTTTAGCCATTCAGAGATAATACAAAATATTCGTTAAAATTTGATCTTTCACTTGTCCTAATACAGGCAAACTAGATAGGAATGTAATATTTGTCACATGTCCGAGTTCATTGTCTCTGAATCACGTAGGCGGAAAAGAGAAATTGTTTCTTTTATTTATCTTTTTCTTGTTCACCTGTTCAATTGTCTCGTTAGTACATACGTAATCAAAATCACAACGTACACATATATTAAAACGCCTTCATATTCTTCTAATTGAGAGCAGCTCAACGATCAATCCTATCGAATACTTAAACACCTTCCTTTAGTATTTCTACCATAAGCACATCAAAGCATACTTAAAGTAGTTGTTAAGATACGAAACTGCAGAGGTTTAACCAGATCTTAGAGCAACAACCTCGAAAAAAATACGAAAACGCTCTAGGGAATGTCGTCGCTAGTAATTATTCATTTACAGAGTGTTTCCGAACGAAAGTCACACAAAAGAAAAATACAAATATCATCATCATATCAGAACTTATTATAAAGAATAAAAATATATATATAGGTGTGTCTGTTGTGGCTAATCTCACAAATGCGCCAAAGTAACTTTAATTTAATTTTTAATGGAAAGGAATAGGGAAAATTCGTCAATGATTAAACTTTATTCCATTTCAATCATCAATAATTTTCTCTGTTAGTTATGGACAAGACGATTGAAAATTTTAAAAATTAACCCTTTAAAGACTTCGCACCCGTACACCTTTAACAATCTTTTACGAGTTTCTAAATTAACCGTTCGTAAGCATAGAAGCACTTTATTGAAGGCGACTCTGCGCTATCCTCTGCTTTATATCCCTACTACTCCTTCCGTCCTGACTTATCTGACTTCCTAGATACCTAAAATCAGCCACTTCTTCTAATTTTTCGACCCCTATCTTTATATTCCCTACTTTTTCTTCCCTTGCATACCAGTATTTTAGTTTTACTTTTATTTATTTTCATACAATACTGTTTTGGTCAATACCGCTTCCATTTTATTTAAAGCTATCTCTAACTCCTCCTCGCTAGATACTAATACTGCTATATCATCTGCAAATCTAAACATACTAATCTTTTATCCCTGTATATCTATCCCTACAGTTGTACTATCTTTAATGATGTTGATCGCGTCTTCGATGTATAGATTGAAAAGTATCGGTGACAGTGTGCATCCCTGTCTGACTCCCTTCCTAACATTTACTTCTCTACTTTGCAGTCCCAGCTCTATAACTGCCTCTTACTTTTTATATAATCTAATCATCACTCTTCAATCTCTAAGTATTGATATAAATCACATAATATTTTATTGTTATTATTTACTTATTTACGTATTACAAATTCACTTTTCTTACACGCATATTTCTACTATTTAAATCAAAATTTTAGTTATGTGTTTGATATGGTTATAGATTTTGATACACTCTGTATATGTCTGTACGTGGCTACTACTTATATAGGTATATATACAGTTGATCAATCAAAATGAAAGCAATGCCTTGACACAACCAAAAAAATCGTGCTTCGAATCCATTACCAATTGATTTAAATAGCTAAGCGGGCACGTAAGTGGTTCGAAATCGAAATTGCAAAACTGAACATCCAAAATTGGACTCTTTTTTACTCAGTTCTCAGCACGCAAGAGACAAGACCGGCAAAAACTTGTTCGGCTAGAAATGAAATCAGTTCGAATTTGAGTAGCACTTGTCGACTGCGACCCTGTTTTTCTTTTTAACTGTATGTTGTGCTCATAAACACTTAGTAAGTACAACTATGTCCTGAAAACGGTACGAGGTTCTTTTCCAAATTCGAAATTTGAGTTTTCGTTTCGGATTTTTGATTCTACGAATCAATTTTCAGTAGTTAAAGATTGAGAATCGGGACTCAGTTTCATAGCTACAAATTAAGTAGACAGCTTTTGTTCTAATTATTGGCTAATTATTTCGCTCTTAACTTTAGTATTACGCTTTTGTTTTAATTGTCAATGGTGATTGGTTTATTATTCTTACAACTGCTGCGATTTGTTGATAAACTGTTTACTTGTTGATTAGAACGGGTCGAACTAGTAAGATTAAATTGTCCTTGCGCCTATTTCTGTTTTATTTATTTTTCTTCCTGTGATGGCGAACGTTTTGATGAAAAGATTTACATCGCGGAATGTACGATAGGCATGGATTGTTCGTTGGCTTTAGCGCTGCAAGGATTCTACGGCGATCTGCGATTTTTCATACGTATAAGGCCCGATCAGGCAGCTGGTTTTACCTGTTCAGAAGTACGATACAATCTCCATGACAACCACCTCGCTGTTCAGAAACGACAAACTCGAAATGCACCCGCGAATGAACACGTAAAAAAATATGAACTGTTTTTGGTTTTTATACCATTATCCCTTTATACCTTTACGAAAACGATAATTCCATTGTGCGTTTAGCTTCACTTTTGAAAATTTTAAAACAGATTTGTTGTTAGACAATAAAAAGACAGTCATACTTGAAATAGCACAAATATCTCAAAAGATACACCAAGTAATTAAAGAACCACGAATAGCCAGTAATCTATAACAATCGCTAATACAGTGGAATTCGTTTATTCCGGCTATGTTGACCAACCGCTTAATATGAAGTAATTGCAGTGTTAACTTTGCTTTTCATATAAAATTTTCTCTAGGAAAATTTGGGTACAATGGCTCCGTTTAAAATGACATATCGTTAATTATGACTGATTCTCAAGAAATCATATCCGGCTGTAGTGACCCAAATGATTAATAATAACATTTTCGCTTATTTTTCTGACCTTTCTTATGTATATTGATATTACGATTCATCGTTATTTTTCTTTTTCTGTTGATAAATACATACAATTTGTAGTTTTTCTCTCTATTAAGCTAAATAACTAACCAAAATGGAAAGTTGTTTATTTCCTAAGACTATGCATTGTATGACGTGTTTTGTCATTTCCCTTCGATGTCATTATAAGCAGATTCTGCTGTAATCGTAATTTTTAAAGAATAGTAAATAGTTTCCATTTTTTTTTTTAATTTGTCCACATTTTGATCGAGTTCAATGTGGTATCTATTAGCTATATTTCGTTTATCTTAATTAAAATTAATTAGTAAAACTTACTTATCGGGGGAATTTGGTGGCGTAACGTGCTGTTGTTCCCTACCATTGGAAGGCGCCGTGGACGATTCTTTGGAGTCGCTTCCTTGAAACCGGCCAGCGCCGTATGGAGATGAACCTCTAGTTGGATCATCCGGACCACAGCCTGTTTCCTTACTGTTTGTTCTTGTCTTTGCTGTACCACGAACTACATCTGCCAGTCGGTTATTTTCACCCCAACAATTTGACGTAGGTGCTGTCGAACTGTCCACCGCCACCGGTTGTGTCTGTAAATGGTGTGACGATTGTGGCTGTATTGGTTGTGGCTGATGATGATTGTTATGGTGATGGTGTTGATTTTGAGAGGAAGATTCGCCGCAGGCGCCCGACGTTAAAGACACCTGCGGCGATTGTTTAATCGGTAATTGCCCACTTGAATGATCTGAAATAACAAAAACAAACATATTCCTGTACTCAGTAAAAAAATCAAAATGATACATACGTATTATGTAGTTAATTTAATTCTTTAACAATCATGTTGCAGTAAACCGGGAGTCATGTTATAACCCGTGGTTGTTGATCAAATGAACATAAATGTTAACTTTATTGCACGTATCACCAAAAGAGGAACATATCATAATTAATCGATAGTATCATATATTTTAAGTTATAGGGTATTTTGGGCTCTATAAACATACTCTGTCGATGGTTTTGCTATTTGGAAACCTGCGTTTAAAGCACATTCTTAGTCGCATCATGGAGCACATTAAATCACAAGTAGGAACTCGAACTACTGATGTTAATATGGAAAACTGCTTTTAATACCCTTAATTAGTTCTACAAAACAAGTTCTCACTTTTAAATACATATTTTTAATTGCCTAATAAATATGTTTGATTCTCATATGTTTTATTTTCTCTAAAGAGATAAATTACCCAAATTGGTACTATTGATGGTATTATCGCTTCCCCTTGGTGCCTATTTCTTGATTTTTTACATTAAACCAGGCAAACATTTACCACAATCTCATCTACTGGGAAGCGGTGGAAATTGTAGCACACTTCCTCGTTTGCTTTAGTTAAGAAAAAAATAGATATGTGACGCGGCAAGAAATATCATTTTTCCAAATTTAGACCGCCTGCTATCGCTATCGTAGAATTTCTTTAGTTTATACTGTACAATATGAACATGCATGATTTTTATTTTCAGCAGGATGATGCTACTTGTCGCGTGAAAGAAATCGTCTACGCTAATACTCCAGACAAACAATTCCAGCCCTCGATTTTCGAGCTGTTATTCGAAAGATGGGGCCTCAGCGAAAATGTCGTACAAAAATTCCTTAAAAGAATGACCTTTTACAGGTAGAGGTCGAAGTGAGAATTTACTAGAGATCATTTTCCACAATTAATTATAGACGCTTTGAATTTAAATATTTGTGTAGCAGGTACAGTATCAGTTTATGAAATTATTGGGCATGAATCTATTAAATCTCTAGTCTGTACAAATGTTTTGTGGACTGTTTTTGGGTTTATTAATAAAAAACTTGTACAGGTAAAAATCCTTTGTAGAAACACTTTTAGTAATCACAATTATAATTTTAAGACATACCTGGTAAAGGAGGAAATGCCGATTCTTCAAGGTCGAACTGCGCACCCCGAGTTTGTTGCAATCCCTGCTGCTGCTGTGAAGTTTGCAATGAGCCACCGGATATGGCCAATGCCCCATCATCATCTTTTCGTTTTCGTCGGTGTCGTGGAGGTACCGGTTCTTTAACGACATTTACGGGGGCTAGCAATAAAGGCCTGTATAGTATAGCGCCACCTTCATCCATAACGACACTTGTCCGAACTACTTCTTGCAAACCTGCGAAAAATCAAGGAAATTCTTATTGGGGGATATTATATATTACAAAATAAACCCGTTTATTCTTGACATAATTAATAGGATAATAAACCTATTATGTTGATATAATATATATTCCAAGTAGTTCTTTTGATTTTGTTGCAAGTATATTAGAATTGTTTGTACTATAACATTGGAAGCTACTGATAATAGGTACTTTGTAAAAAAGAATACGAGATAAATTATTATTGACAGCACCAATAAGTTAGAACTCAGGAAGTAGTTTTAAATGTTAATGAATAACTTATTTTTTTTAATATTTACACGATTAATATTTTATTCAAATTATCAAAGCAAGTATACTGCGTAATTTGAGTTTATTTTTTATTTTATAACAACCAAAAAAAGTCGAATGGGAACTGATTTCTTTTAACCTTCAGAGCCACCATCCTATAGTAAAATAACACTGTCACGATACGAAGTGTGTGGATAGATACCACCTCGCACAACTGCCTTCACAGCACAGTGACTACATCAGGCGATATATAAATACACAAAATGTATAACCGTTTTTGAAACTTTTGTTGTTTCACCTCGTTTCTTTATTTATGTTTGCATTTATGTCATTATTGATTTATATACATGTATTAATATAAATGAAGTGTGGACTAATCGCAAAATTTAATTTTAACACAATCCTGCAGATGTAGATATAGACTCCAATTTTATTTCATTAGGACTATAATAAATTTTCTGTCGAGTTAACCGCGGCCGTGTGGTACCGAGCCCGTCGTCTCCTGCCTTTCGTAGATAAAATAAATTGACAAAAATTGTACATTGCAGTTTGCTTAATAAACCAGTTGTAGGAAAAACATTTTTTTTTTCTATTTCTTGTTACGAAATTTCATTTGTTATTAAAATATATTACAATCAAATAGAGATTTAACAAAGGAAGAAAAGGACAATTAGGCCACATAAGAAACAGAGGGAATGTAGCCGTATAATTCCCATCTTAATACCGTTACCGTACTGTAGGATGTTGCCTCCAGGTATTTATTCTCAAAGGATCAATTAAAAAAAAGTACCCATAGCCCTACAGTTATTTATATCAGTAAGGAAATTATGACAAAAAATCAAGAAGTTGCAATTATTCAAAGTCACTAAAAATGTACTTTGGTATTCTAATTAATGATTAGTAAATAATTAATTTTCATTCATATAAGTAAATAATATTTATCAAACAATTGCTTGAAGCCGTGTTGTTATTTCTTTTTGAATTATTCAAAATCTACATTCCAAATGTGTATTATTTCTTCTATAATTCTACTGTATCTTTAGAATTACATTAACGGATGACCCACTTCCGTTTATACTGGTAAACACAATTAACTGCTGTTATGTATTTTTATCTTTAACATTTTTAGGGTAGACACATTTTTATTAAATTAATATCTAAAATAAGTGAACTAACCTGTTGTAGCAGATGCTGGTTCTATACAAGTATCATCATTGTTGTTATGTTGACCAACTTTTACTACATCTCCACCCTTTTTTCCTCCTGGTGAAACAGACGGCGGTGGAGCCTGTCGACCGCCACTCCCACCACCACTCGTTTGATTCGTTTCATTTTGCTGACCAGTCGTTGATGCAGAAGAGGAATTATTTTGATTAGCATTATTATTGTTATTTCTATTCTGTTTACGAGGACGACCACTTCCAGTTACTCCCGCTCGAAATGGCTGTGGTGGCTTGAAAGTTTGTGGTGCTAACCCATTTACCTGGAATACGCTACTAATATCATAGTAGCCAGCAGCTCCCGTTGGCCACGCCTGAACTACTGAAGTATAGAACGGAGGTTGCTGCTGTTGATGGTATGGAGACTAACAAAAATAAATTTAAATGTAACTTTTCATACATAACCCTTTAAAATCAAATCAAATAAATAAAGGAAAATTTATTTTGAAAAAAAAGTAAAATAAATAAAACCGACTTCCAAAATTCCTAAAGCACTTAATAGCAAAAAATAATTACAGGTTTCTTTTTTATTACTGAATACAATAGCTTTCTTTTCTTTCCGTAGTGCGTATATAGTTTACATATCTGAGATCACAAAGTGTTACGTTCGTTCTCCCAAGCGGAAGCGATATTAGCATTTTCATAAATGTTACATTAGCAAACCAGTTTTTTCGGTACATTTGTATGAGAATTACATACGTTTCTATTTTTCGTCTGTTTTTTTACTAACGTAAATGAGCTGATATTAACTAACTAATTAATATAAACAAAATTTTAATTCAATATCTGTCTGAAATACATAATTTCATTTATACTTTAATCCGGCCCTGTCGACCTTCAGTCTCTAATCTATGTTCAATAGTTCTCCTGCTGTGCGGTTGCTACAATAGGTTGTAAAAAGATATCAACGAACTTTAAAAGTTACTCTACCATATCTTTGAGGTTTCTATACTTAACTCTAAATATTTTTTCCTTTAATGTATGTTAAATAAAAATACTCCACCCACACATGCCACCATAAAATTTTAAAGATTATAATTCCACTTATTATAATGTGAATTATATTTGATGTTAGAGGGAATTTAGAATGAGATGAACCTTCACCTTGGCTTGCGCAATGATAAAACTCCAGCCAGCTTATTGATTTCTACATTTCTACCTCTTAAAAACATCGGCCGTCATTTTTTACCAGACCTATGTGCCTAGTGACGCACATGGTTAGTGTTAATATAAGTGTGACAAGACCTGTAATTCATGCATCTCAAAGTTCATGTCATTCTGAACTACCAAACTCATATTTTACATGAAATGAAACCATTCAAATCGATACTATTATGAAGGGATTGTCCATAACATAAAAGCATATCTCTGCATAAATATTAAAAACTTTGTATAATTTTGTTTTGATTTGAAATGTGAAACTATGACCTTCATCCATATGGATCCAGTACTGCTACATCTAAGTTTTTTGCATTTTAATTTTCAAAATGTGATATAATGATGATTAGTACATATATGTAGCAGAACTCGTTACATATAAAATCCATGAACTTACATAAACGTGCACCTGATTGGGGTAGGTAACGGATTGGCCAGGGGTGCCGTTAGCAAAGATAAACCTTTGTTGTCCAGGCGGAAAGGCAGCTGGATCATAAACAGCTGTAGGTGGAGGTGTAACCCGGTAGCCGTTCTTGAAAGCGGACGGTATAGGTGGCGCTATGGGCATCCTATTCATCGGTTTCGCTTTAATACGTGCCATTATCGGCCTTCCTTGAAATTCACGCACTTCTTCACGCAAGTAACGGTATGCCCGCTGTGCATCATCATCTGATTCAAACGTCACATACCAATTGTTATTGTGCGCGAATTCGCACGATATGAAACGTGGACAATTTTCACCAGAAAATAAATTCTAAAACAAAACATTTATCAAACATAATTTAGCATAAAAGTTTCTTAAATACATTGTACTCAATTTAATAGTTAAAAAAGAGTTGCATTGGCAGGGAATCGAATCAAAGTCTGCCACTCTCCCACCTCCGTTTTTGTTACATGAGTTATATATACATATGTACATATACCTATATATACTTTTTACTAAATATGTACAATAAGATCTTCCTTTAATTCTAGACACAAAGTAAGCATTTAGTTTTCGGAACGACTGTGTCATCGCCAACGAATTATTGCATTAATATGACCTACGCTGACAACCAATAAATGATCTTTGTTAAAAACGATTGTTCGCCGTCACGTTTTCTTATTTAGGTAAAAACACGATCAAAAAATCAGTTTCTTAAAAATCATTTCCAAGAAGTAAAACTTAGCTATATTAGGCAAAAATCTGTACAAAGGGCCCAAGAGTCTTGATGTTAAATGCTTCCAGTCACAAATTTTGGAAAAAATGAAAAATTAAACATTATAGACAGTTTTTCGTGTATCTTCTGGCGTTCTACCTCCTTAAAAATGCAAACTGCCTATTTTTGCGGATTTTCTTGATTCCCAGAGTTGGCCAACTTCACTAAAATAATAAGGCCACTCTATTTCCCATAGGTTGTTTGGAATTCTATAAAATCTCAAGTGAGTTTTAGGCCTTCATGATTGTACTCGACAAAGCATCAATTCACTCTCTCATGGAATATAAATAAAACCAGAAATATTCGCAAAAATCAATGTGCTTGGTCAAACACGACCGATACTTTGACTATCAGTTACGATGTCACCACCAGAAATGCTTACTTAGTCTATAGTTTTCGATATCTGAAATTTTTGAAAAAGGTGATAAGGACTACGTTTTTTCTCTTTAATGTACAAAACTCTCTCTAAATAATAACATTTCTTTTCGAGAAAAAATAATATTTAACATCATCATCATCATCATTGGGTCGTAAGTCGGAAGACTGATTGGACACGCACCTTCACTCCTTATCCTGAGCCAATTTTTGCATTTCGTGAAAACCAGAGCACCCTACATTCTCTCTTTACTCTTATTTCTGCTTCTAATACGCCTCCAACTAAGCTTTCATGTTTCAGAAGATGTCCTATCATCGTGTGTCATTTATTTTTAAGTATAGGTACATCCATATTAAGCATTTTTCCTATTGTACATTGTCAAAAGATTTTATAAATAAAATCTACGAATGTTTATATACGCTCTTCCCTTTCCTGTCGTTTTATTTATTACCCGTAAAGTCAAATAGCCCTACGCGTTCCCCTATTTCGTCTAAACTCTTCTAATATTTGTTTTGCATACATCTCTACATGATTATAGCTAAAATTTTCGACGCATGAAAAATTAACCTAATTGTTCTAAAATTCTTTCATCTATCCGCGTTTGTCTTTTTTTAGGATTTATTTATATATCAAAAATATTTTCTGGTCTTCATATAACTAATTAATAATATTTAAATTTGGTGCAGAAATAGTGCAGAATTAAATGAAGAAAACACATTTGAATTATGATTTCCTATTATTTCCTTTTTTTATAAGGCAATACTTTTACAAATAATAAATAAACATCGTAATAATGTGTAATAGTTACAAAAAGTTTTACCTTAACGTCTTCAACGGGCGTATTGTCCGGTATTTCCCGCAGAATGACGATGCAACGTTTATGGTTCGGTCGCACCTTAACTCCTTCTTCGTCGACTTGCACATTGGGCGATTCCCGCAAAACTTCCGTTATTAACTTAATATCTTTGGTAAGCTTTTTTACCTGATTGAAATTGGCAACCGTCCAAATCGGAACGTATTGGTCGTTGTCCATTTGCGACAGCAAATAGGCATCATTAGCTAAGTTTTCTCTTAAAAAATGAAAAAGAAACTAATTACAACACAAAAATATACAGTAAAAGAAACTGAACTAATATCCACCCGATCTCAATCTAGCTTACAAGCAAGTCAAACTTATTTTATCAAATCATTATCTAAACTTCATATGTCTGTAACAATGTCTTCTCAATTCATCATTTATCTTTAAATTATTAATGATCTGATGAAGATAACTACGGTTTGATTTTATATCCATATAAACCCAATACAGACCCTGTATATACCCATGATAGTAATTTTTCAGGGTATTGTTTTTAATAAAAACTGATTTTTATTTTTCATAGTCTAGGTAATTTTACGACAACTCCAAAGAATTAAATATAAAGCATATAAATATAAAATATAAATGAATTCACATTAGACAGTTACAATAAACTTGATTTCAAAATATTACTTACAGTATAGAATTTTGTTATTTAAAATATCTGAAATTTATATAAAGCTACTAACCGTGAATAGTGCAAAGATAAATGATAAAATCGGTTTTTCGAAA